CTCTCTCTCTCTCTCTCTCTCTCTCTCTCTCTCTTGATCCCACCGCGTCCCAGTCTCCGCGTAGCGCACGTTCTAGCCTCTCTGAGTCCCACACACTAGTCGCCTCCTCTCCGGCGAGCCATCGTCAACGTCGCAATCGTCGTCTGCCGCACGTGGTCTCGTTACGATGTATTCTACACCAGTAATGTTGTTGATGATACCGTCCCGATGTTTTCCCCATCATATGCTGTCGCCCTCGCCGCCGATGCTGCTGCTGCTTCTGCTGATGATGATAATGATGATGGTGCTGTTGTTGTTGCTGCTGCTAATGCTTCTGCTGCTGATATCGGTGGTGGTGCTGGCGTTGATGATGATGTTGCTGCTGCTGCTGCTGCCTGTGGTGGTGGTATTGTTGTTGTTGCTGCTGCTGCTGGCGGTGGTACTGCTGCCGTTGATGATGGTGTTGTTGTTGCTGCTGCTGCTGCTGCTGGTGGTGGTGGTGGTGGTGCTGCTGCTTCTGCTGCTGCTGCTGCTGGTGGTGGTGTTGTTGCTGATGCTGCTGCTGGTGGTGGTGGTGGTGTTGTTGCTGCTGCTGCTGCTGCTGCTGCTGCTGCTGGTGGTGGTGGTGTTGTTGCTGCTGCTGGTGGTGGTGGGGTGCTGCTGCTGCCTCTGCTGCTACGAACTTCTTTCCTCAAGACATGTCTTCTTCCCTTATATATTCAGGCCGTTCCTAATGGAAAGAGCAACAAAATAAACTGTAAACATGTGACGTCCGAACGATAGATGAAAGGATGGATGGATCAGTAAATAGAAAGGTGGGCGTATGAACCGAGCTAGATGTGGGTGGATAGGTGGGTGGGTGGATTGCGGTGGTGGGGGGTGGTGGGTGGGTGCGTGCATGAAGTGATCTCTGCTTGTTAAAGTGATTACGTCATCGTAAATAGTAAAAATTAAAAAAATATGTCACAAAATATAATTAATTCTGTTCACTTTTTATGGTTAAATTGCTGCATTATACTTCTTATTTTACTATAATTGTTCGATGTGAACATACACTCGTGACTCATACATAGCCCATAGCAAGCAATTAATGTCAGGAACACAATATCAAATCGTCCAGGTTTTTTGGATTTTTAACTAGTTAAGAAACAATTGATCAGGTAAGAATTTGACGATACGTTTAGTCCCGTTATAATTCTTACTTTTAATGTAAAAAAATGGCAAAAAAACATTTTACAAATTTTACCATAGAAAATTCGTGACGTAGTCAATTTAATGTGTAAATGTGTAGATTGATAGTTACGGAAATGGCCGCGTGAAACGAAGAATACATGAATGGATTCACAAATGGAAAAAAAAGAAACAGGTGGGTGGATTTCCCCCATGGTTGGACGAATAGTTTTCTGTATAGATGTGTGGATGTGTACAAACCTATACAATAATTATAATACATAAGCTGCGTTATATTAACTATAATATAATATAATAACTTAACCTTAACTTAATAAACTTAACTTAACTTAAAACTAAACTTTAAACTAAAACTTACTTAAACTAAGCTAACTAAACTAACTAAACTAAAAAAACTAACTAACTAAACTAAACTAACTTAAACTTAAAACTAACTTTAAACTTAAAATAAAACTTAACTTAATATAATAACTTAACCTTATAATAACTAAGCTGCGTTCACACGAGATAAGCTGCGTTCACACGAGATAGCTGCGTTCACACGAGGATTTCAGTTCCGTACTTGAGCGTTCACACGCTAAAATATACGCGGCTTATTCAGTATCGTACTTAAATACGCGGCTTACTTAGCGCGGAATCACATTCCGCGCCAAGTAAGCCGCGTATATTCGGCACCACGCTGGCCGCGTATTGTCTGTCGTGTGAACGCATTCGAATTGCGAAACTGTAGCGCGCTTACCTAGACTGGAACCCGTTCGCTACACGACGTTAGTGTAGCGTGTGGAACTGTCGACCGGGTACCAGTCTATATTATACCTAGCCAGCTAAGCCTCGAATCTCGTGTATCTCGTGAGAACGCATTTCAGCTGAACTCAGCACCAGCTAAGTACGGAACCAGCGAGGCCGTGTATACGTGTGAACGCAGCTATTCCGTACTTATCTGGTGCTGAATTCGGCTGAAATACCGTGCTATGACAACCCGGAGCGTTCATACGAGAATCGAGGCTTAGCTGGCTAGGTATAATATAGACTGGTACCCGGTCGACAGTTCCACACGCTACACTAACGTCGTGTAGCGAACGGGCACCAGTCTAGGTAAGCGCACTACAGTAAGAGGTCTTCATTTTCGAATTGCGTTCACACGACAGACAATACGCGGCCAGCGTGGTGCCGAATATACGCGGCTTACTTGGCGCGGAATGTGATTCCGCGCTAAGTAAGCAGCGTATT